ATACACATTTTTGACCATGTGAAATACATGAATTTGTTGTTTCCTGACTGTTTTTTTTGTGAAATTTTTGCTTTTTTTTTTTACAGAGGGACTAGAAATTAATATGAATTATTTTTCATTTTGAATCAATTTGAATAATTATACTGCTTTGACTTAGTGATGCAGGTAGGTATGCCACACCCAAAAGATCTTATGATCGGCTGAAACGATCAGAAACACTCCTGGGCCTAAGTATAAAAATAGCAGGCAGTCTAGCAATATAGCAAAGTAGCCAGTCAGGCAGCAAACTAGGTTAGTGGCAGAGGAACTCTAGTTCAAAGGATTTCAGTTCGAGAACTGGTTCCAAGGCTCTAAGAGGAAAGCACTTTTGAAGGAGTGGGAAAGGAGGAATAGTTTCTTTTAGTCTTCACCCTCTTCCCACTGCCCATATCATCAGAAACTAGACTGGACAAAGTGCATCCAGCTGGGATCACAGAGACTGGACCACTAGGAGGCAATATACATACCTAAGAGCAGTGTTCACTCGAGGAAGGCAGCTACAAAACAGTGATGTCTCATAACAGAGAGAAGTGGCAGCTTCAAAGTCCACTAAATCTAGCAGAGTTCTACCTAAGAAGAATGTCACAAGTACAAAAGCAGAAAAGGCTAAGGCTCCAACCACTACCCCATACTGTTTCCTCCTTCAAAGAAGACTTTCTCAAAGCCTCTCAGATGCCTTCAGAGAGGAAGTCCTCCCCTCTCCTCTTGCATATGGTTGGCCTATACAACCTTTCAGTATAAAGTAAAGCACTCAGGGCAGCTGAAGCCTATTCCATCCTGATTCTTCCTGCCTACCAGTCTGAAGCCTTCATTTTGGGATTAAGGAGAATGTTTCAAATATTCTTTCATCATCCTGTACTTCAACGGAATCCCATCTCCCTAAAAGATTCTTCCCTTCCCACCCTAGGACAATTCTGTCACATGTTCCACTCTTCTATTGCACTTGTATAAAGCTTGCTGGAGCTAAATTATTGACCACCAACCGGAAACATAAAATGTTTCTGGGCAAAACATGCACTACCTACTACATTTTTTTCCTCATAAATTCTAGGGGGGTGGTGGGCAAGTCTGGGTTCTCAAGATCAGCAGTAGCAGAGAAGTTTAAATTATCACCCCAAGAAAGAAAAAATAAAGGAGACTCTCCAACTTTTTAGGAGATGATCTAGCAAACAATGAGGAAAATGACTACAATCCCTGAATCCAGACCAGCAATAATGATGCTGTCCACAGACAAGGGAGTAAATGAAGGAAGAAAAAAAAGACAACTATAGAAAATGTCCATTTTTTTCCCAGTAAGACTTATGGTAGGGAAGGAAAGAAATATAAGTACTTGCTAAATACATCAGATTTTTTTTTCTTTTTTCCAATTACAAACAAAAACAATTTAACCATTTTTATTAATTAATTTATTTTGATTTCTCACCAGTTATTTCCACAAGCTTTTGAGTTTTAAATTTTTCTCCCCATTCCTCCCCACCTCCCTCCCCAAGATGGCATGAAACCTGATATAGGCTATACATATGCATTCCTATTAAACATATTGTCACATTAGTTATGTTGTAAAGAAGAATTAGAACCAATAGAAGGAAGAAAAAGAAAGATGAAACAAAACAAAACAAAAGGGAAAAAAAGATCAAATAGTATGCTTCAATCTGCATTCAAACGTCATAGTTCTTTCTTTGGATGAGGATAGCATTTTCCATCATGAGACTTTTGGAGATGTCTTAGATCTTTGCATTGCTGAGAAGGGCTAAGTCTATTAAAGTTAGTCATTGCACAATGTGGCTGTTTCTGTGTACAATGTTCTCCTGGTTCTGTTCACTTCACTCAGCATCAGCCCATGAAAGTCTTTCAAGTTTTTTCTGAAGTCTTCCTGCTCATCATTTCTTATAGCACAATACTATTCCATTACATTCATATACCACAACTTGTTCAGTCATTCCCCAATTGACAGGCATCCCCTCAATTTCCAATTCTTGGATAACAGAAAAAGAGCTGCTATAAATATTTTTGTACATGTAGGTCCTTTTCCCATTTTTATGATCTCTTTGGGATACAGACGTAGCAGTGCTATTGCTAGGTCAAAGGCTATGCACATTTTTACAGCCCTTTGGGCATAGCTCCAAATTGCTCTCCAAAATGGTTGGATCAGTTCACAACTCCACCAACAATGCATTCGTGTTCCAATTTTCCCACATCTTCTCCAACATTTATCATTTTCCTGTTTTGTCATGTTGGCCAATCTGATAAGTGTGATGTGGTACCTCAGAGTTATTTTGATTTGCATTCCTCTGATCAAAAGTGATTTAGAGCATTTTTCATATGACTATAGATAGCTTTAATTTCTCCATCTGAGAACTGCCTGTTCATATCCTTTGACTATTTATCAATTGGGGGATGACTTGTATTCTTATGACTCAGTTCTCTATATATTTTAGAAATGCAGCCTTTATCAGAGACATTGGCTGTAAAAATTGTTTCCCAGCTTTCTGCTTCCCTTCTAATCTTGGTTGCATTGGTTTCATTTGTTTCAAGACCTTTTAATTTGATGTAGTTAAAACTATCTGTTTTGCATTTCATAATGTTCTCTATCTCTTGTTTGGTCATGAATTCTAACAGGTAACTATTCCTTGCTCTCCCAATTTGCTTATACTTTCATTCTTTATGTCTAAATCATGTACCCATTTTGACTTTGCCTTACAATACAGTGTGAGATTTTGGTCCATGCCTAGTTTCTGACCTACTGTTTTCTAGTTTGTCCAAGCAGTTTTTGTTAAATAGTGACTTCTTATCCCAGCAGCTGGAGTCCTTGGGTTTATCAAGATTACTATAGTCATTGACTACTATGTCTTGTGTACCTATTCTAGTCCCCTGATCCACCACTTTGTTTCTTAGCTAGTATCTCAGTATTTCTTATAGCACAATAGTATTCCATCACGATCATATACTGCAACTTGTTCAGCCATTCCCCTATTGATGGAAATCCCCTCCATTTCCAATTCTTTGCCACCACAAAAAGAATTGCTACAAATATTTTTTGTAGATATTGGTCCCTTTCCTCTTTTTTTTTAATCTCTTTGGGATACAGATCTAGTAGTGGTATTACTGGTATGTACTCAAATATATTAAATTTCAATGAAAATTGCCACAGTTGTCTTAAGTTGCAATGATTGAGGATCACCAACAAAATCAAGGGAATTTACACACACACACACACACACACACACATGCAGAGAGAGAAATGTATTATTTTAGGAACAGCATGAGATAATGGAGGGGAGGATGATATTGAGAAGCTACCATTAAGAAGTGGACTCAGAATGATCTGGCTTCAAATATGGCCTGATGCATGACTTTGGGCAAGTCATGTACTTTCTCAGTTCTTGAAGCAACTTTCTATTGCCTATAAGTTGCAAAGCATTTGATGGTCTATGCTGGAAGAAGAAGTTCTACAAGAGGGCTTCTAAACACTTACAAAATCACAGATCTAGATTTTTAAAAAAGACTAACAGTCAACAGAGTTTGTAATGGCAATTTCAAGGGCTGACAACACTTATACTCCATTGGGTAGAAACAATTGAGCTGAGCACCAAATGAGCAAAAACAATTAGCCCTTGAAGCTACATCCCAATTAAGCTTTTCTGCTACTAGCCCCACACTACATTCTCCACCTTCCTGAGGTCTCCCAACAGTGGCCTTAAGGTGCCCCTTAATTAATTCTCTTCTACCCCCATGGGAATTATCTTTGATCTTTCTCCCCAAGTAGCATGTTCATTACCCCAACCAAAATAAATTTGTTGCCTGAAAACAAGAATTTTTTTAGTTACACCCATAAAGTTCAAGAAATCCATCATTTTAAGACCAGTTCTCCTCCTAAGTTGCCACGTGACCTTGATAATCACTACTTGAACTCCTCTCTGTTTCTTCATCCAAAAATCAATAATTAATTTAACAAGCCCTTAACAGGACATCACTCTGTCCTAATCAGGGTGATATGTTCTGGGGACCCAAGAACAAAAGCAAAAAAAGGAAAAAAAGGCAGGGAAAGAGGGGGGAATAGATTCAATTAAATAGTCCCCAAGTTGCCATGGTCTGAAGCGATGTATTGTACTAAGAAATGAAAGAAAAAATAGTATTAGTAATACCATGTTAAATTTGATGTGCAGCTCATAAAAACCACAAGCTGTGCATGGTAGATTCACAGTTTCATCTACAATTTCCTTCCTCTATACTTCTTTGTTTATGGAAATGTCCATATTTATTACTCACTGGCAAGTTCACTGTATAGCTATGGATAGATATAGATACAAATATAGTTTTGGTTTTTTCTAAGAAAGAGCAATACTATATTGAGAACAAAGCAGCCTGGGTTTGATCTTTGACTCATTCATTTATTGTTCATGTGAATTTGGACAAGTTCTTTCACTTCTCCCCTCTCAGGGCCTCAGTCTTATTTATAAAATGAAGGGGTGAGGAGCAGCCTGCATGATATATCTATCCAAGGTTCTTTCCACTTGGAAAGTTCTTTGATTCTACTGGAAACTTAGTAATTCAATTCCCTGATATTGGAGGGGGGAATCTAATCAAGTAGAAGGTGGTTCATTTCTGCGAGTCACAGGAAATTCTGTATTAGAGGGAAATGATGTGTCATTTTCTGAGCTGCCTAAAGGCTTTGCCATTGATTTAATAAAGGAACAGATGCATGGTTTGTCACAGAGCAAGAGTCCAAGCTTTCTCCTTATGACTCGGATTGGTTTTTAAATCTGGCTGTATGACTTTGTCTTTTCCTCCGGCACATGGAACTTTGATGAGATGACTAATAAACCCAACACAGGAAAGCCACTCTCCCTTAATTCCCCAAAATCCTTAGCAACTTCTGGGAGCTGTAAACAAAAACAGATCATTCTTACCTTTCTGAGAAGGAGCAGTTTTCCCAGGGCTGAAGATCTCCCCACACTACTATGCCTCTCACAAAAGATCTCCTGCACCCTTCTCCGGAAGAGGGGAAGACAAAACACAAGAAGAAACGTCTGGTGCACAGTCCGATCTCGTATTTCATGGACGTAAAGTGCCTGGGGTGCTATAAAATCACCACTCTCTTTAGCCAGGCAAAAACAGTGGTTCTCTATGTGGGTTGCTCCACTATGCCCTGTCAGCCTGCTGGAGGAAAGACAGGACTTACAGAAGGACACTCCTTCAGACAGAAGCAGCACTGATGATTAAATCAAGATGATTGAAAAACTGTAAAGAATAAAACAAATTTGATCAGAAAAAAAAAAGTAGAAGAAGGAGCAAAGACTTGTAACAACCAGAAGAGATGTTCTGGACTTGGAGCTAGAAATTCAGTGTAATTTAGACAAGCATTTAGTAAGTGATTTCGCTAGGTACTGGGGGTATAGCCCCCAGCCTGAACTAGTCTCCATCTCCAAATCAAAGACTGGGTCCCCTAGGAGAATGGCTGCCCCAGGCTCAATGTAAGAACATGCTGAATTCCTAAGATTTAGCCCTCAAGCCCCTATCAGTGTATTTGTGTTTAATAGTAAACAAGTAGACAAAATTAGCTCAGAGCAAAGATATATATATTGTGGTGGGTTTATAAGAACAATAGTAACAAAACATTCCCCATATAATCCTAGGTTGTATTCTCCCACAATTACATATACTGTAGTATCAATAGGAAGAGTGAGCAGACACTGGTAGTATAGACTAGTACTATGCTAATAGACTAGTACTATACTAATCTATGCTGGTGGGGAGATATATATATATATATATATATATATATATATATATATATATTTATATATATATTTATTTATTTATTTAATATATGTTGCCTAGGGAAACTCACACCTTCAAGACTCCAGTATTCCAATTCCTTTCCCTTCTCATGGTAACTTCATATGTTGCCCCTTACTACAATATGTCTTGGGACAGATCACTCACATGGGATCCCTAGACTTCTCTCTACAGAGCTCAATTCCCAATGGCCAAGGCTACTTCTCTTCTTAGCTTAGGTTAGTGGGCAGCTAGGTGGCACAGTGGGTAGAGGACTATGCCTAGAGTCAGGAAGACTAACTTTTATGATTTCAAATCTGGCTTTAGACTGGAGTGACCTTGAGCAAGTCACTTAACCCTGTTTGCCTTAGTTTCCTCATCTGTAAAATGAACTGGAGAAGGAAATGGCAAACCACCTTTCTTTTGCCAAGAAATCCTCAATTGGGGTCAGGAAGGGTCCAGCATGATTGAAACAATGGAACAACAACAACAAACACACTTTTCAAAACTATCTCCCTTCTACCTTTACTCTCAACTGGCTTAGCTTGATTTCTGATAAACAATGGTATTTTCTACTACTAGATGAGTAGCTCTGCTACACCATGGACAATGAGTGTGGGAGAAGAGAGAAAACCATTCCCCCAGAGACAAGAAACTACTCCTTCCCAAGGGTTGGGTTCCTCCTGGCTCTCTTCTCTACTGCCAGAGCTCACAGTTCTCAGGGATGATCCCTAATTAAACTCCCAGAGGAAATGTCTCATTCTTTTTAAATTTAGAGATCAGTATTGTGGGTAAAACTCAGCCAGTCAATAGTTAGTTGCCATATAACCCCATCAGTTTCGATCATTGCACTTCACATCTTCCATTTTAAGGATTCCATTCCTTTCTGGACTCACCAAACTTCTTTCTTCCCCATACCCAGCAACCTCTTCCTCCTGGAGTTGACTGCAGCCCTTCAGTTCCTTACTCTTATTGGTTAGTTCCTCTCAGATGCCCCATTGTAACAAAAGTGCCCAGAGCCACATTTCCTCCTCCATTCCTCTCTGGGCTCCACTCCTGATTTGCTGGACTTCTTTCTTGATCATAGCCCGAAAAAGACACCTGCTCCTTTCTTCCCAGCTGTTCCGGACTTTGACACCATGGCTCAACTGCGGCCTCATCTTGGACTTTCCCTCAGCACCTTAGTTCTCTTAAGTTCTAAATCTTAAGCCCCCTTCCCTCATTAGTGAGCTATTATGAAAGCTTCTATTTTGAGTCGGTCAATCTTGATTCCCCTCCTGTTTCTGCTTCTAATTTTGCAGAATTAGTCCAGACCACACCTTTCGGCAGGTTCCCTCCCCCTTCAATTTTCACTTTGGCTCCTTTTCCTGTGTTGTCTTCTCCATTTCAAATGCAATCTCGGTGAGGACAAAGACTCTATTTTTGCTGGCATTTGTATTTCCAGTCCTTAACATTGTGCCTAGAACAGTGAGCCTGGAATGACAGTGTTGACTTGACTTTAAACATACACAAAGTATAGGCACAGTTGGTATTTGATTTAAGACCTTAACACCTTGTTGTCCATTGGAGTCTATAACTGCATTAATTCAACTGGGAACAAATCAATTAACAGGTGTCTCCAATAATCCCCCCTCACTATGAAGATAAAAGAGAATCAAACCCTTTTCTCAAGGAACTGACATTGTATTGGGGAAGGGGAGCAATATACATACAGATGAGCGAATACAAAGTATGCACAAAAAACCCCAGAGGTCATTGAGTTAAACTTCTTAATTTTATGGTAGAAGAAGCTGCCACTAAGGCAAAATGGTGTACCCAAAGTCACATAGAATGCATGTATCCTGCTTCCTAGTTTAGTGTTCAGTCCACTGACCACAATCTTTAATTATAACTTATTACAGAAAATGACTTTGATAAGAACTGGATTTTCTCTCTTACTAGAGTTAAGCCCAGAAATTCTATTGCCTAAGGCAACTGCATTTGGGTAGGGGGAGGTGAGGTATAATGTTGGTCTCTATAGAACACTTACTGCTCTTCTTGTGGATGCCCCAGATCTGCCTTATCTATCTCCTCAGGAAGAACATGGTCCTCATTCCTGGAGGGCCCAGGGATCTGAAATATATCCACTTAATGAAAATTCCTTTATATAGCAAAGTATTGACTTCTTCTAGCAACATACTAATTAAATCACCTGCTATGTGCCAGGAACTGTTCAAGGTACTGAGGGTAGGAAGAAAAAAATGAAATGGTACCTGCCCTCAAGGAGCCCTATTCTCAAAGGACCAATGACCCTTAAATGCCTACTCTATGAAGGAGAGTGAATTATAGTCAGGAGACCATTTTCAAGCCTGTTCCTTCTCCCTGGGCTGCCCAGGGTCACATAACTATTTCTAAAAGCTAATTGGGCAGTAAGGTTACATAATAATTATGAAGCCTAATAGGATATATTTGGGATGTGTCTTGTAAAACTTAAAGAACTATATAAATGCTGGGTATTATCACCAGCCTTTCCTTGTTACTGACAAGCCCTTCCCTGATTGCATATGGAGATCATTCATTCCTCAGAGATCAAGAAGCTGCTTCTTCCTTACACTGCCCCACTCCTTCTTTCTATAGCTTCATAATTATTATGTAAAACCAACTTTTCAATGGTCTTTCTACTTTCCTTCTTTCTTCATGTCTCCATATCTTGCATCCCTTCACTCTCTCATGATCCAAGTCAATAGTTTCCCTCTGTATCTTCATATCTTTTTCATTCTTTGTATTCTCCCTGGAAGTACTTTTTTTTCCCAGTATTCCAAGGAATACTTCATTCTCCTTGATGATCTGGAGAGCATAACAGCATTCTTCCAGCCCTTTGACCTTTCAGTTCAGTCATGTGTTAGCTCTGTCTCACTCTCCATGACCCCATTTGGGGTTTTCTTCACAAAGATACTAAAGTGGTTGGCCATTTCTTTCACCAGCTCATTTTACAGAGGAGGAAACTGAGGCAAACAGGGTTAAGTGACTTGCCCAGGGTCACACAGCTAGTAAGTGTCTGAGACCAGATGTTAAACTAGGTAAGTTGAATCTTGCTGACTCCAGGACTGGCACTCTATCCACTAAACCACATAGCTGTCCCACTTTGACCTTAGCCTCCAAAATAAAAACCACCTAGTATTTTACACATATACTGTACATGTTAGTTGGTTTAAGTTGGGGGGGGAGAATAAGCATTGCACCCTAAATATATAGTTGCAAAATTCCACCAGCTTTCCATATTTGCTTGAAATGAGATCTTTAGTCTATTTTCCCCCATTGGGAATAGAGAGAGGTGACTCTCTTGTCTTGCCTTCACAGTCGAGTGCTATGATGCCAAACTGGGAATCGGTTGCTGGAGGTTTCAGAGTAAGTCTTTATTTATAACAGGCATTACTTTTTCATACAGTTGGGCAAGGGTATCCTTTCAGCAGTCTTAAACTGGCTACCTGTACAAGCCATTAACAAAATTATTTAATTAGATGTAATTACCTGCCTTGCTTCTCATTATCTACTGATTTTCAGATACCTCTTTGTACATCCAGACCTGCTTGACTCTCTTAAAAGGAGTGTTGTAAATTGGTTTCATGTTAAACATAGATTCTCAAGAGTTAAATCCTGAAGACACAAGGGAATTGATTCCAATGAAAAGGGAAAATGAGATTTTTTTCTGAAAATATTGATGTGGATATACAGGGAATTCACCACATATTTTAGAATTTAAAAAAAAAGTTTAGAATATGGCAGCAAAGACAGGTTACAGGAGACAAAAATATACCATAAGGATGAATAAAGCTCAGAATGAGTTGAGGCTGGCAAGAGAAGGGAAGGACCCCAAAACAGGATGGTTTACCTATTTGTTCTTGTTCAGTCATTTCATTTGTGTCTGACTTTTTGTGATCCCATTTGGGGTTTTCTTGGCAAAGATACTGGAATGATTTGTCATTTCCTCCAGATCATTTTTTACATATGAGGAAACTGAGGCAAATAGGGTTAAGTGACTTGTCCAAGGTCACACCGCTACTGTCTAAGATCTCCCTGACTGCAGGCCCAGTGTTCTATCCACTGTACCACCTAGCTGTCCACTGGTTTACCTTTATTGGGGGGGAGGTGGGGTAAGGAGAATAAAAGAAGAGAAAGGAAATGTGCTTGAAGTGAATGAGATGATGGTAAGTGACATCAGAGAACAGGAAGTTAGTCAACTATTTTGCTTCTTTTTTCTCTGACAAGGAGAATGGCCTTTGCACTGAAAATTACAGAGGGTGGGGGAGGACTAATAAGTAACACCCAAAGTAGCTAAGAACACAGTAAGAGAGAATGGATTTGCTCTTTATGAATTCAGGTTACCTAACCCAGATGAACTACATCCCCGGGTCTTGCAAGAACTGGCAGCTGTGATTGCTGAAGCCCTCTCAGTGAC